CAACCTGTTTCCCAATGTGCTGCTTCTTGCAGTATAAAAGGCTGAGTTAGGGCTGGGCGTGGTGGCTCATGCCTATAATCTCAGCACTTTGGGAGGCTGAGGTGGGTGGATCACAAGGTCAAGAGATTGAGACCATCCTGGTGAACATGGCGAAACCCCGTCTCTACTAAAAATACAAAAATTAGCTGGGCATGATGGCGCTCACCTGTAGTCCCAGCTACTTGGGAGGCTGAGGCAGGATAATTGCTTGGACCCAGGAGGCAGAGGTTGCGGTGAGCCGAGATTGTGCCATTGCACTCCAGTCTGGGTAACAAGAGCAAAACTCTGTCTAAAAAAAAAAAAAAAAGGCTGAGTTAGGCACTGGGATTTGGGGGATGCTGCTGAATGTGCCAACTTCTTTGGGAATGGCATAATAATTCCTCTCAAGACTTGTCGTTCCCTGAGGGAGAGAGAGAGATCGGTGAACTTAGTTATCAACAGGGACAGTACTGCCCCCACTCCCATCCCCATTCCAGTTCTTGGATATTTTTGGTTGGCAAAATAATTGGTGGGTGTTTAGTGGATGGGTCAGAGATACATGCATCTTACAATGCATGGGACAGTGCTGCAAACTAAGAATCATCCTGCATCCTGCTTGCCTTTAAAATGTGCTGCCTGATGTGCATCTAGGCAGAGGCAGATTTACCGTGAAACTGATGAAGCTTAAACTTCAGGGTCCCTCACTTACATGGAGCCTTTGAATGGAGCCTTCGAATCACTCCATGCAAGTGAGGGGCCCTGAAGCTTAAGCTTCATCATTTGGCCAAGTGAAGGGTCTCTGGGAGAGGTCTTAGCAAACTGCTCATATGGCCAAATAGCTTGAATATCTGCAAAGTAAAAAAAAAAAAAATTTTTTTAGATGGAGTTTCACTCTTATTGTCCAGGCTGGAGTGCAATGGTATGATCTCAGCTCACCGCAACCTCCACCTCCCAAGTTCAAGCGATTTTCCTGCCTCAGCCTCCTGAGTAGCTGGGATTACAGGCATGCACCACCATGTCCAGATAATTTTGTATTTTTAGTAGCGATGGGGTTTTTCTATGTTGGTCAGGCTAGTCTCGAACTCCTGACCTCAGGTGATCTGCCCACCTCAGCCTCCCAACAAAGTAAAATATTTTAACTGTAAGCAGTTAATACCTTGGACTCTGTCCACTCCAACATCCCCACCATCATACTTCCTCTTGTGTTGAGTGGCATTGGGGTGATTACGGGCATTTTTTGGATCTGAAGGAGGAGACTTGGAGTTAGGAATACAGATGGCTTCTGTCTAGTGGGATATATTTTTGTGGTTTGCAGTCTCTTTGAAGCAGAATTAAGTCATTGCTTGCTATCCTGGAGTAGGGAAGGCCCATAATTGTGCTCCTACTCCCTACTAAGGTGGCTCACAGGTGCAAGAGCAGAGGTCATATGGCAGTATGAACATGTCCTATAGGGCCCAACACAGAAGTATGTGGGAAGCTGAGAAGAAACAAATCTGAAATGTACAAGGACATGAGTCCATGGAGGACTGTAACATCACAGCAGAAGATTTGATGCTCATTGAATCCTACTCAAAATGGAGTTCTCCCCAAAAGAGGGGTTTTCTAAATTTCACAACAGTCAAAAATGTACAATATTATCAAACTTTTGTGAAGCTGAAAAAACTTTTCTAAATTACCAATAATAATAAAGAAACTCAACTATGCTAAAGACCGAACTACCTATTTTTATTTCTTTTTTCTTTATTTTCATTTTTTTTCTTTAAGCTCTCTCTTACAGGAAGACCAGAACTGTCTCTTTATCTGTAGAAATGATCTTATTATCATTGTCATACAGGGAGATGATCAAAGAAAATTCAGCAAAAATTATGTTGAAAAAGGACTGTAGAAGTATGTCGGGCTGTTCATTAGTAAACGTATTTCATTATTGTACTGGCTTTTGTGATGTTTGTGGTACTTATCAATTATTTAAAATGGTAATTTGTTGTGATTTCTTTTTTCCTATCCCAAATAATATTTTTATTGTAACTCATGTAATATTTGTAACTTTGTTCTGTTTTATCCTAAAGAGGGCTCTCCAAATGTCATAACTTAGTCTCCACAAAACTTGGATCTGCCCCTGCATATAAGGTGAAAAACGTGTTTATAGTTATCTGATCACAGGAGTCAATTGCATTTTATGTATTAACGCAGATTATTTTTTGCCCAATTTTAATAGACTTTTAAATTTCCAGAAACACAATTACTGAGTCAGTTGGAACTTTGTTTTGGTAGAAATTTCATAATTACCTGTTCAGGATCTTGAGAAGGCACATCTGTGATGGTACTATCCTATATCATTTTGCCTTTATAACAGTAGGGTTCACAGCAATTCTAGGTATGGAAATTGATTATTCAACTTGGGTCATTCTGGTCATGCCCAACTAAAAGAGGGTCGAAAGGCCAGGGGAGAAAAAAGCACTTGGGGCACATGGCACTGCTCCACAAAGGTAACTTTCTGCAAGCCTGGCTGCTGAAACTGCCACTTGAAAACAGAGACCAGTTTTATCTAACAGCTGCAGAAAAAACCTACTGTGACTCTCAGACTAATTCTACCTGCTGCCAGCTCCCACCAATCCTAGCTTACAAGTTCACCCAAACCTTACTGTGGAAAGCAGAAAAGATCCTCTTTAAAGTTTCCTTTCTCGTTAAAGAGTAAGTGTGCTAATAACTTTGGTAAGCCCTATCCTGTGTAGTTGTTAAATATGCCATGCTTACAGGCATGTAGTACACTCTATGTCCTTGTACTTTAACCAAGATATCTGTGCTGGATGTGATCACAGGCATGTCCTAGCTCTCCATTGCTTTCACCTGCTTAGAAAAGTTTTTAAGTTGTTAGCCAATCAGGTTTTAGTTTAGATTGTGAGGTCTGGCTTCAGCCAATAGAGATCAGACACAGCAGCAAGGATGACCCCAAATGCTTAAGGGATAAATTTGTGTGTGTTCCTTTATTCATTGTACTCTTGGGACATGATGGCTACAGGGAGTACATTTCCTTCAGTTCAGGAAATAAAAATTGTGTTGCTGAAAAATCCCTTGTCTTAGTTCTAATTTTTTTTTTTTTGCGGCACCAAGCATCTATTTCCAACATCTATTTCCAATACTTACTAAAACCAATAAAATTTATTTCAAAACAACATGTAACATTTCTTTTTGTAAAACCCCCAACGTTCTCTTTGCTCTTGAGATATATTGAAGATTACCACCTGTCTCATCTGTGTGTATGCCCTGAATGGCAATTCTTACTTACCAAATAAAATGCTTTAAATTTAGAAATTAATCTCTATGTTTTATTTGACTTTGACATAAGTGTCACAGTGATTCTAGGCACACATTGGACACTTCATTATGTTCATTATGTTTTCTAATATAGTTGTGACTGTTTAAAATATTCAAATACACATTATTTTATTTTAAATAATTTCATGTCTCCATTCCTGTTTGGACATTATATTGATATTTTTGAAATTTCATGTGGAAGTAGGTTATATCATCTATAAATTTCATTTCATTAAATCAAAGTGGGTGTTGTAAATCAATTCCATCATAGATAATGCGTTTATGATTCTCACGGAGAAAATAAACAATGCACTTATTTAAAAAGAGTTTTTTATTTACCTTTGCATGGGTGCTTAAAATACATATTTCTAATTCACGATGACACGGAAAAATTATTCTAAGATAACAGCAACAAAAATATAATTCTTCAATTATGAAAGTGCTAAACTGAAATCCGTAATTAAGATTTTCTCGTATTTACAATTATGGTTCTTTAATCAATATTTGTATTATACAGATCTGTGGTAAGCTTTTTAGATTTAGTTTTATCACACGCACACAATACTGTCAGTTGGGGGAGGCTTTACAAGTTATATTTCATGCACTTTTTTTGAAAGAGTTCTAAAAGAGCCAGCCACTCCACAAAACAAACAGAAAAAAGTTAAATTAAGTGGGGTAAATTGGACTCAACATTCAAAGCATGCAAGATCCTGCAGCAAACTGGGAGTATTTCAGGATTGGCGCACTACCTTCCTTAGTATAGATTTCATCTTAACAGTTTAAGAAGTTGAACATTTTAACACCATCAAGTGCATTTAGGTGATGTGTTTCTTGTGCGTTAATTTGACTCCCCTGAATGATCTAGTCAGTGAACTAGTCACTAATAATTTGGTCACCAGGCAAATCGAGACTACACGAAAGGAAACGAATATTCAGAACACTGTGTTATCATCTGAACCTACTCAAATAATTTATTTTCAACATAAACATGTAACTTCAATAATGGGATGGATAACTGAAGCAAGTGCCTCCAACAAGACAAAGACAACATCTCTTCTTCCAAGGTTTAGGTTTTGCATAGAAATCCGGATACATGGAATAGCCCATACCAACAGTCATTGCTCCTATAACAAAGCTGGACTGCCACACGCATGTGGATCAGGTGATGGGATATTGTTAGTATTTCCCCTGTTCTTCAATTTTTATAATCCGTATGCAGCAACTGCTGCAATAGCAGCCATTCCGATGGGAACAAATGGTGCCTCTTTAGCTTTTCGAATCAGTTTGGATCCCTGAATTCCCTCACAGTCATCCGGCTTCGCCCACGGATATTTTAGGAATGGCAACGGGTCAGAGATCAGAGGATTCTAGGAACAGAAGGCGAATGGAATAGGTCAGCTAGCTTTGAGATTCGCATATGTTCCTGAGGCTTCCTCCCTGCCCCCCACCCTTCCTTCTTCAATCAGGCTAAGAGTTTCTGCAGAAATGGAACACCTGATTCAGTGAAGGTGACAAATAATGAGTATGCTCGTGCCTGGGTCCTGAGTAGGATGGGGTGGGGGGAAGTAATGCTGTCTTGGCTGGCTCTCAGGCTGGCCAGGCTCCGAACAGCAGGCGGCGCTGTAGGGGAAGTCGCGCCGGCTGCACCGGGCGCTCTGGCACGAGGACGCCTATCGTCTCCTCTGCAGCTTCCGGCACGGCCCTGTAGCGCGGGACGCGGCCAAGTCATGGACCGCAACCCTTCGCCGCCGCCGCCAGGTCGCGACAAGGAGGAGGAGGAGGTCGCCGGGGGAGACTGCATAGGGAGCACGGTCTACAGTAAACACTGGCTCTTTGGCGTCCTCAGCGGACTCATCCAGGTGTGGAAACTCGCGCCACGCGTGGGATCTCCCCACATCCTCCAGGCACCCGGGCTCCGTCTCTGGCGGCTCCTCCTGCCCCGGGAGCCGCCATCCCCACGAAGACCCTTCCCCAGGCGCGCGCTGCGGGACCTCGCTCCTTGCGTTTCTCCCGCCGCTGCCGACCACAAAACTATCTGGGGCCTCTCCAGGTCTCTCGACACGAAGGAAAGTATAATGGCAGGGATGCTGGAATACTTGGGGTTATATTTTGCTTTTGCAAGTTCTCCAGAAATACATGATCGTGTAACTACATTGCTCGGGTTTTGCCCCCCATCCCCACTGTCATTTCTGAACCCCAAGTCCTTAATTTATGTATGTCATGGACTATCGTTGTATTAGAGTAAACGGTGACTTTAGGGTTATACAACTTTTACATGAAAAACGCGGCTTGTAATCCCAACACTTTGGGTGGCCGAGGCGGAAGGATCGCTTCAGCCAGGAGTTGGAGACCAGCCTGGGCAACATAGAGAGACCTGGTTTCTGCAAACTAAAAAAAAAGAAAAAATAGCCGGTCATGATGGTGCATGCCTGTAGTTCCAGCTACTCAGGAGGCTGAGGCTGGAGGATTGCGTGAGCCTGGAGTTGGAGGCTGCATTGAGCTGTGATCCAGCTACTGCACTCCAGCCTGGGGGACAGAGTGAGACCCTGTCTCAAAAACACACACCAAAAAAATAAAAAAACACAATTTAATTGCCTACAAGTTGCAGGTCACCTAATGGTTCAGAACCTCTATTTATCTCTTAATTTCTATAAAATGGCTTATAATATTTATATTATTATATATAGGGTTATCATGTAGGTTAAGTGAGATTATAATGGCCATAGAGTGCTTAGCATGGTGTTTGACTTATAGGAGGCTGTCAGTAAATGTGCGTTTTCTTCTCCCCATGTTTCCCTAATTGGTTTTTTTGCTTCCCATCTCTGGCCTCTCCAGTTCATTTTCTACACAGCTGCCAGAATAATCTTTAAAGACAGGGCTATTGGTGATACTGCTCTTAGTTCCTGTTGCCTAGGAGAAAAATACATATTTCTTGAAGCTTGGAATTTAGGGCTCTTGTACATTTTCTGGCCTCATCTTTCCATGATACACTTTGTTCCATCAACACTGAACTGTTTTTCCCCAAAACATGCTAGGCCCTTTCTTAACTCTTGGACTTTCCTCTGAATACTCACTTCTCCCCTTCACAAGACAAACTACTATTCTTCCTCCAAAATTTAGCTTAAGTATCACCTTCTAAGAGAAATGTTCCGCATCTCCCAGGAATAGGTCATTGGTCCATCATTTTTGCTACCCCAACTCTTTGTCCACAATTCAGTTGAATCACACAGCCTTTTCTAATATGACTATCCCTTTACATGCCTTTCCCCACTAAATCCTAAAAGTAAAAAAAAAAAAAAAAAAGTGTAAAAGTAAGGTATTATATCTTACTCATCTTTGTATATCCATCCCAGTGCCTAGCAACAGTATTTACTTTGTGAATGTTGAAAGAATAGATCTACTCAAGACACTAAGTTTTTAAAAGAAGATTTTTGCAAGAGAAGGTACTTTGCTGTTAGCCTCTTTGTGACTTCTAAACGATTATGGGTTAATATTAAAGTAAGTCCTCACTTAACATCAGTAGGTTCTTGGAAATTGTGACTCTAAGCAAAATGACTGATAATGAAACCAATTTTATCGTAGGCTAATTGATTTAAACAAGAGTTAAGTTCCTGTGGCGTATTTCTGGACACAAGAACATCGCCAAACTTCTAAATGAGGATCCAAAACACTTCTAATATTAACTATTGAGATAAATGTGAGCTATAAATACGTTGAAGAAAGGTTAATAAAAACAGGATAATTATTTACCCAGTTTTGGTGAATTAGTGAGTGATGGTGATAGTAATGATGGTGTGTTAAATGAAGGAATAAATGTTTACAAAGCAAAAATGATCACCTCTTACTACTGCACAGTCCAAAAACAGTAACAAATAAGGCAGGCTTACTGAGCATTTTCCTACCATATAATTTATTGTCGTGCGTCTCTACGATTATTGTCGTCTTTACAGATTTTTGTTTTACAATAATTTGTATTCATCCATTTTCCAACCCGCTTGCTGTGGTTCAGGGTTGAGGGTGGCTGGAGCCTGTACCAGCAGCTCAAGGTGCAAGGCAAGAACCAGCCCTGGACAGGATGCCATCCCTTCACCGGCACACTTAAACACACACACACTCACTCAGATTGGGACCATTCAGACACACCATTTATGCTAATGTGCAAATTTTGGGGATGTGTGAGGACACTAAAGTATCTGGAGCAGACTCCTGTACCCTTGGGGAGAACATGCAAACTCCATACAGATGGTGGCCCTGGCCAGGAGTCAAATTTTTTTCTCATCAACATTATAAGGAAATGTTACTCAGTTACCTGCTGTACTTGGGTACCTGGTTAGTACTGTAGACAACTTTTATTCATGTTTTCTTTCTTTGTGTTTCTGAAGATTGTTAGCCCTGAAAACACCAAATCTAGCTCAGATGATGAGGAGCAGCAGATGGAGCTTGATGAAGAAATGGAGAATGAAATTTGCAAAGTATGGGATATGTCAATGGATGAGGTATGAGGCTGGAAACAAAACTCTGGAAAGACTGTTGAGTGAGGAGGTGGTGAGTGGATGTTTTAAAATGGTTCAGTCCTTCAGTCTCCGGGGAAAGGCTTTAATTGCCTGTCTGTAATCACACCTGTATGTGATAGAGGGAATGGGGTCCCAGGAGCTACTAATGCTAAACTTCTGTCTTTGAGGCTGGAGGATCTGAGCTGTCATTAGATTTGGACTAAATACATAGCTCTTATGAATATATTCCTACATCCATATAGGCCAGGAAAGTTCTGATATTTATCTACCTAAAGAGAACTCTGCCCATATATTTGAGAGGAGGTTAGGAGTTAGAAGACCACTAATATACTGTGCTATTAGAAGAAAGGGACAATAAAATATCTATAATTGCAATATTAATAATTGTATTTTAATATCCATATTTCATTCAGTAGCTCAAAAGCACTTTCATGTGTTCTATTTGATCTTTACAATAACCCTGTGATATAAGTAGTATCCTTATTTTATAGCTAAGAAAATAGAGGCCAAAAGAGATTAAATGACCTCTATAATCGCTCTTGTTTTATTACCTGGACTTTTGGAATAGCTCCCTGATTAAAATCCTTGTTTTCGTCTCTTTCGCCTCCCTTCTATCCTCTACATTGCCACCCGTGTTATCTTTTTTCCAGAAGTATAGACTTAATTGTACTCATTTTCTTAAAAATTGTCAATGGCTGTTCATTGTTTTAGTCTTTTTTTTTTTTTTTTTTTTTTGAGACGGAGTTTCGCTCTTGTTACCCAGGCTGGAGTGCAATGGCACGATCTCGGCTCACCGCAACCTCTGCCTCCTGGGTTCAGGCAATTCTCCTGCCTCAGCCTCCTGAGTAGCTGGGATTACAGGCACACGCCACCATGCCCAGCTAATTTTTGTATTTTTAGTAGAGACGGGGTTTCACCATGTTGACCAGGATGGTCTCGATCTCTCGACCTCGTGATCCACCCGCCTCGGCCTCCCAAAGTGCTGGGATTACAGGCTTGAGCCACCGCGCCCGGCCTGTTTTAGTCATTTTTTAAAAAACAACTTTATTGAGGTATAATTAACACAAACTATATATTATTTTGAAGTATAATTGACATTCAGAAAACTTCACATATTTAAAATAGACCGTTGATAATTTTTTTTTTTTGAAGTGGAGTCCCTCTCGCCCAGGCTGGAGTGCAATGGTGCAGTCTTGGCTCACTGCAACGTCCACCTTCAGGGCTCAAGTGATTCTCCTGCCTTAGCCTCCGGAGTAGCTGGGAGTACAGGTGTGCACCACCAGTCTTGGGGAATTTTTATATTTTTGGTAGAGACAGGGTTTCACCATGTTGGCCAGGTTGGTCTTGAACTGCTGACCTCAAATATCCACCCGCCTCAGCCTCCCAAAGTGTTAGGAGTATAAGCAGGAGTCACCGCGCCAGGCCGATAAATTTTGACGGATGTTTACGCAGATAAAACTGTCACTGTAATCAGAATTGAGAGCATACCCATCACCCCTAAAAGTTTCCTTATGGTCCTTGGTAGTCTCTTCCTCCACCCTCTCCAGGCAACCACTGGACTGCTTTCTGTCACTACAGATGAGTGTGTATTCTAGAGTTTTATATAAATGTGCTCGTATTCTTTTTTTGGTCTGGCTCTTTTACACAGCATAATTATTTTGAGATTCATCCATGTTGTGTATATCAATGGTTTATTATTTTTATTGCTGGATGGTATTCCATTATATGCATATACCACAGTTTATCTTTTTACCTGTTGATGAATACTGGAGTTGTTTAAGGTTTATTACACATGAAGCTGTTGTGAACTTCTGTGTACAAGTGTGTATGGACATATACTTTTCTTTTTTGGGGGGCAAATACCTAGAGTGGTGTATTAGTCCATTCTCATGCTGCTATAAGGAAATACCTGAGATGGGGTAATTTACAAAGGAAAGAGGTTTAATTGACTCTCAGTTCAGCATGGATGGGAGGCCCCAGGAAACTTATAATATGGCAGAAGGTAAAGGGGAGGCAGGCAAACATGGTGGCAGGAAGGAGAAGTGTGAGCAGGGGAAATGCCAGATGCTTATAAAACCATCAGATCTCATGAGACTCACCCATTTTCGTGAGAACAGCATGGGGGAAACTGCCCCATGATTCACTTACCTCCACCTGGTCTTGCCCTTGATACATGGGGATTATGGGGATTGTAATTCAAGGTGAGATTTGGGTGGGGACACAGAGCCAAACCATATTAAGTGGTATGGCTGAATCATATGGCAGATGTATGTTTACCTTTTTTTTTTTTTTTTTTTTTTGAGGCGGAGTTTCGCTCTTGTTACCCAGGCTGGAGTGCAATGGCATGATTTCAGCTCACCGCAACCTCTGCCTCCTGGGTTCAGGCAGTTCTCCTGCCTCAGCCTCCCGAGTAGCTGGGATAACAGGCACGTGCCACCATGCCCAGCTAATTTTTTGTATTTTTAGTAGAGACGGGGTTTCACCATGTTGACCAGGATGGTCTCAATCTCTTGACCTTGTGATCCGCCCGCCTCGGCCTCCCAAAGTGCTGGGATTATGGGCTTGAGCCACCGCGCCCGACCTATGTTTACCTTTTTAAGAAACTTTCAAATTGTTTTCCTAGGCAGTTTTTACCATTTTTCATAACCACAAGCAGTGTATGAAATACAATTCCAGGTCGAATTTCTCCTCATCCTCACCAACACTTAGTATGGTCAGTCTTCTTAACTTTAGCCATTCTAATAAGTATGTAGTGATATCTCATTGTGATTATAATTTGGACTTCCCGAATTCCTAATGATGAGTATCTTTTCATGTGTTTATTTTTACTCTGTGTATCTTTTTTGGTGAAGTACCTGTTTGAATCGTCTCCCTGCTTTTTAATTGTGTTATTGTGTTGTTTTCTTATATTTTCTCCTAAAAGTTTTATAATTTTAGATTTTGCATGTAAGTCCGTGATTCATTTTGAGTTAATTTTTGTATAATATACGGTGCAAGGATGGATTGAAGTTTATTTTTTTGTCTGTGGATATTCAGTTGTTCTAACTCATTTGTTGAAAAGACTGTTCTTTCTCCATGAATTGCTTTTGTGTCTTTATCAAAAATCAGTTGTCCACGTACTTTATACTTTGAAATCATTCTTTTAAAGATAGACGTCTAGTACTCTAAAAATGTTCCCTAAATATTTGTACTTTACCATTATTCTACAAATTCTGATATGTTGTGTTTACATATTTTTTTTTTTGAGACAGAGTTTCGCTCTGCATTTTTTGTAGAGATGGGGTTTCACCATGTTGGCCAGGCTGGTCTCGAACTCTGGCTCTCAAGTGATCCACCCTTCTCGGCCTCCCAAAGTACAGGGATTACAGGTGTGAGCTACTATGTCCGTGAAAGTTCAGAATACTTTCTAATATCCTTTACTTTTTCTTTGTTTCGTAGATAATTTAAGTTTCAAATATTTGGGAATTTTTCAGTTATCTTTCTGTTGCTGTGGTCACTGAACACTGCATCCTTTTAAATGTGTTGAGACTTGTTTTATAGCCCAGAGTATGGTCTATCTTGGTAAATGTTTCATGTTCACTTAGAAAGCATGTGTGTTCTGTTGTTGCTGGTTGGAGTATCTTGTTATCAATGTCAGTTGGATCAGGTTGGTTGAGAGTATTGTTCAGATCTACCTTCTACAGGCAGTGCTCGACTTTCGACCACGGTAGAGACCGCGGAACGGTCGTAACACGATTTGGTCGTAAGTTGAGTGGGCTATATGTACAGTTGAAATGGTGCACGCGGAGATGGTAGTGCTGCCAGAAGCTGGTCCGCACTGTCGTACGCCCAGCTGGGCAACGTTTGTGCTGCCAGACACGGAGCAGTCATGGCTAGCGATTGTGGTCGTAAAGTTGAATGGTCGTAAGTTGCATAGGTCGTAAGTCGATCAATACCTGTATTTGTTCTACAATTATTGATAAATTATGGTTAAACAAAATTTTTTTGAAATAAATAAAACCTGTGTTTTAAATGAACTCTTAGAATGAAAATCTCAGTTTTAAAATTGAGAAAACAGTGCTGCTGTTTGAAGGAGGTTATTGGTGGAGGGCAAAGTCATGTTCTTTTTGGCCTTCTTCTACTCCCTTATAAGAGGTGCCCTTGAGGCACCACTCAGAACTGAGCTCTCCACTGACCATTGAGATCCCTGGCACAAAGTCTAATGAGTTTGTATCTCAGCCTTGTCTCCTATCGCTCAGTAACCATGAATTCAGTGTGCGAGGATTAGAGACCGCCAGATACTAACTATACTTTCACGTGTCCATGAGTGCTGTTCATGCCATTTGGCGAGGAATGGCTTCCAGCTGGCAAAATCCTTCTCATTGTTTATGGCCTGGCTTCAGTGTCACCTCCTCTGTGATGCCACCCCAGACACTCCAGGCAGAATTACCCTTTCTTAATTTGTGTTCCCACAGAATCACTTCACTCTGTTACATGTGTCCTCTGATGGATTTAAATTCCTTCTCATCAAAGCATAATGTCATCTCTTCTGAAATACCTTCTCTAATGTCATGTCTAAAGTAGCCCTGTTTATCTCGGTTTCTAGCACATACCGTCTTATTTTCTTCGTAGCATTTAGAAATTGTGTAGTTTAGTTGTTTATATATTTATTGCTTGTTCATTTCTCTAGAATGAAAATTCCATGGGACTGATCCCTTATTTAGCTTGTTCACTGATGTGTCCCTAGAGCCTAAAACAGTGCCTATTAGGTTTTTCAGAAAATATTTGGTGACTAATGAATGAATAGATGAATATCTGAGAGGTAGCATGTTGTGATGGTTCAGAACATAGTCTTGCTGGGTACTTGCCTGTATTCCCAGCTGTTTGGGAGGCTGAGGCAGGAGGATCACTTGAGCCCAGTAGTTGGAGGCTGGAGTTAGCTATGATAATGCCTGTGAATCTGTGAATAGCCACTGCTCCAGTCTGGACAGCATAACAAGACCCCCATTTCTTTTTTAAAATAAAAGAGAGACCATAGGCTCAAATTTGAACCCAGACTCGTGGGTTCAAATCCTAGCTTTGCTCTACTGAGACTGTATAATCTTGCTTAACCTTTTTAAACTTCAGTTTGCTTATGAGTATAATGGGGCTAATAATGATAACTAGTTGATAGAGTTGTTTTGAGAATTAAATGAGATAGCATGCAGTCCTCTTCACTGTGCCTGGCATTTAATACTTGTTCAATGAATGTTAATTTCCATTATTACTGTTGGTGTTGATATTGTTAGGCCATCCTTGTGCTACTTAAGGAATTATCATTAAATTTAAACATTTCTGCATGTGACACAATTGCTCACAGGATAGACAGCTTGATTACTTAAAGTGAAGAAAATCTACTGTTAATGACTTTCAGTTTAGATTGTTATCCTTGAAAATATTATTTTCTCTGACCATGGTCTTTTAGTAAGTAGAGTATGTCCCTCCCAGTCAATTGTCTGGCAGGTTACTGGTTACATGTGCTGTGGAGGATAATTGCCTCTCTCTTTGAAGTGCTCCAGGGTCCTTCTGTGTGCATTTTCACATAAGCCATCCAGCTTATATTTTAAGTTAAGGCTTCTCAAATATATACCTCTAATTTAGTGAAAATCTGAGGCAGTGGATAACCAGAAACTTAATTTTATTTATATATTTTACAGTGCAAGTCCCCAAGAAAACTGATTTACCTGTTGTCTTACATTTCTAGGTGAGATTTGGTCCATTTGGAGCCACATGTTCACTCACATGTGCATCTCTATGGTTATGTGTGTTCTGCCCCTTTAGACACTGTGGCAGACTCTCTAGGAAGAAGTTATGAGGCTACTGCAGTTATATTGTGACCAGAATTTATATTCTATTGATGATTTTAAAAACACAAGTGTTGGTTTTGGACAGGACCCAATAGCAGTTCTTAGCTTCTTTCCCCTACCGTGTTTTAAGCTCTTGGAGGACAAGAAAGAATTCTGTTTTTATCTGAGACAAAATCTCACTCTGTCGTCCAGGCTGGAGTGCAGTGGTGAGATCTCAGCTCACTGCAACCTCTGCCTCATGTGCTCAAGCAATCCTCCCACCTCAGCCTCCTGAGTAGCTGAGACTGTAGACGTACAACACCATGCCCAGGTAATTTTTGTATTTTTTGTAGAGATGGTGTTTCACCATGTTTTCCCAGGCTGGTCTTGAACTCCTGGGCTCAAGCGATCCACCTGCCTTGGCCTCCCAAAGTGTTGGGATTACAGTTGTGAGCCACCTCGCTCAGCCAAGTTATACTCTTTTTTTTTCTTCCTTTTTTTCCTCACTGTGTCGCCCAGGCTGGAGTACAGTGGCATGGTCATGGCTCACTCCAACCTCAACCTCCCTGGGCTCAAAGTGATCCTCCCACCTCAGCCTCCCAAGTACTTGGGACTGCAGGCATGTGCCGCCACACCCACTAATTTTTGTATTTTTGTGGAGATGGGGTTTTACCATGTTTGCCCAAGCTGGTCTCGAACTTGTGAACTAAAGTGATCCGCCCACCTCAGCCTTCTAACCAGCCTCCCAGAGTGTTAGGATTACAGGTGTGAGCCACTGCGCCCAGGAGTTTTACTCTTTTCCTTATCCCTCACTTCTAGCATAATACCTGATATGTAATCAGCAAATGTGTTTGAATGTGTTTAATGAGAATTCCTAGTGGGTAGGAAAATTACTAAGGTAAATAGATTCAGGGCAGAAAAGAATAGGATAATCCTCTGGAGTATCATAGGTAGTTTGATTTGTTTATGGAATTGTTCCACTGTCTGGGACCAGTTACCATAAAGACTGTAACATCACTTTTGTCTGTTGACACAATTCCTAACCCTGTGGTTTGTTTTTCTTGCATCTAAAATTCTAATTTTAATATAGAAGCTTATGGTTGCCTAAGCTATGGGGTTTAGGGAGGAATATTCAACATCCAAGTTAATAATCATTTTTCTTTTCAGGATGTGGCTTTATTTCTCCAAGAATTTAACGCTCCTGATATATTCATGGGAGTACTGGCCAAGTCCAAGTGTCCTCGATTAAGAGTAAGTATGTACATTTCTAAAACCTTCTTTGAAGCAATAAGAATAGATAGTGCTGGATAGTCATTTATTTTTCTCCTTGGGAGGCTGAGATGGGAGGATCACTTGAGCCTGGGGAGGTCGAGGTTGCAGTGAGCCATGACCATGCCACTGTACTCCAGCCTGGGTGACACAGCGAGAAAAAAAGGAAGAAAAAAAAAGAGTATAACTTGGCTGGGCGAGATGGCTCACAACTGTAATCCCAACACTTTGGGAGGCCAAGGCAGGTGGATCGCTTGAGCCCAGGAGTTCAAGACCAGCCTGGGAAAACATGGTGAAACACCATCTCTACAAAAAATACAAAAATTACCTGGGCATGGTGTTGTACGTCTACAGTCTCAGCTACTCAGGAGGCTGAGGTGGGAGGATTGCTTGAGCACGTGACACAGAGGTTTCAGTGAGCTGAGATCTCACCACTGCACTCCAGCCTGGACGACAGAGTGAGATTTTGTCTCAGATAAAAACAGAATTCCTTCTTGTCCTCCAAGAGCTTAAAACACGGTAGGGGAAAGAAGCTAAGAACTGCTATTGGGTCCTGTCCAAAACCAACACTTGTGTTTTCAAAATCATCAATAGAATATAAATGACTATTTGATTTTCTTACTGACCATAAATCAGCAAATCAACCTTCAGATGTTTGTCGGACATTGCCAGGTCCTAGGTAATTTGCTATTAAAATTTTTTCTTTTAATTTTTGAGACAGGGTCTCAGTGTTTTCAAGGCTTGGAGTGCAGTGGCATGATCACAGCTCACTGCAGTCTTGACCTCCTGGGCTCAAGGGACTCTCCCACCTCAGCCTCCCAAGTTGCTGGGATTATAGGTGTAAGCCACCACACCCAGCTAATTACTGTTTTTATTTTGTAGAGACAAGGGTCTCTTTATGTTGCCCAGGCTGGTCTTGAACTCCTGGCCTCAAGTGATCCTCCCACCTGGAACTTCCAAAGTGCTGGGATTATAGGCATGTGAGCCACATGTCTCTAATAATTTAAAATATTAAATTATTAATAACTTAATAATTTAAAATTATTAGAATCATGGAAGTTTAGATTCAGGCTGGATCAGGAAGATTAACACTTTAACAGCTTTGGAGATGAGTTAGGCGTAACCACTGTTATGCTGCTAGTATGTATCAGAACAAAGAATAGGGCCTGGGCCTCCCATTTCTCGGTTGATTGCTCTTTTTTGCTCACAAAACCCACCATTGCTTGAAAACCATTTTAAACTGCTGCTCAAGACTTCTACTCTCAACCTAACTCATCTTTCCAGCATAAAATCTAGATAGCCAGATAGCCCTTCTGATTTAGCCAGATCTTTCTACTCCCTGTCTCATGCTGTCCCTGTGCCTCCTTTTGTGTGCCTCTTGTCCCCTCTCAGTATTTGCATCTGTTATTCAAGGTGGTACTGTTCCTCCCATACCTTCCCAAGTGAGTAAGCTTTCAATGGTCATTGCTGTTAGGAAACTGCCAAGAACAGTAGATAAAGACTAAAGGAGAGGCCTTTATGTACTGTACAGTGTACTGTGCTTTACTGCCAATTGAGTTGCCATGTGCTATGCGTGTCATGGATGATTAGTAAATACCTGTTCAATAATTATTATTATGAAAACCTGCTGTTTACGGAATACCTGGTCTTACTAATGTGAGGCAAACTTTTAAAGAACTAGATCTCGGGTGAAGATACGTGTTCACAGTCACACAACTAGGAAAGAATGGAGCTTGGATTTCAGCCTAGGCCTGACTCCAGTATAACCACTGTACTGTATTTCCTCTCTTTCTTTGAGATTATAAAATGGAGAATTCCATGGTATATTTTTGCTGATTGAAGATTGAATTAAAATTCTTATTTAAGTAGAATGTTCTGTCTGAATTAGGGCCTGATTAACCACTTTTTCCTTGAATCCTTATATTAATATAAGATGTGACAACTATGCTATTTCTGTAGTGAGTTTTTCTGTCTTAAATATATTTACTCACTATCAGTATATGAAGGAATAAGCTTATGTCAGGAATGGCACCTTTTAGGAATTAGTCATACTATCGTATGTGTATCTGCTGACCATAGTCTGCTGCTGCAGTGATTCTTAGCCTTGGCTGCACGTTAGAATCACTTGGCACATGGGCTGTCAAACTTCCTTACGTCCCCTCATCACTAATTGTCAAGTCCACCTCCAGAGTTTCTAGTCCAGTAGGTCCAGGATTCCTAATACTGTTCCCCGGTGATGCTGGTGCTCTGGAGCATTGCCACACTCTGAGAAGCTTTGCCCTAGGGAACTTTTAAAAATCTTGAGTCAGGCTATACTCTAGATGAATTAAAGCAGAATCTTCAAGTGTGAGACTCCGGGAAGCTTTTAAAGTTCCATTGCAGTGAACAGCCAAGACTGAAAAACTTCATCTTTGATTGGAAGTTCAGTTAGTCCCTCTTCAGTTTGTAAGGGAAACGTATGTGTTTTTTTTTCTGCCCCTACTCATTCTTAATCTTTTCCCAACATTTGACCACTCACATTATATTGAAACTCCATTTCTGTAGCTCCTGTGCCACCTCACTCTCTGGTCTCTGACCTCTTCAGTCACTCCTCTCTCACCTTTCATTGGCTTTTTCTTTCTTCCTTTATTATACTGTCCCGAATAGAATATGGACGCTTTCTAAGGTGTAGACCCTGATTCTTTGTTCTCATTATGCTCATTTTCCTAGTGAACTTATGTGTTCTTTACACCTTTAACTTGCAACTCTGCCTGTGGGAGCAAAACCTTGACTTCCCTCCTGGTAACTGAAGTCACATCTCCCACTTTCTTCAGGCATTCTCTGCTTGCATGCTATATAGTTGTCCCTTGGTAAATATGCAGGATGGTTGCAAGACATTCCCCCATACTAAAATCCACACATAATTCTGCAGTCAGCTCTGTGGAACCTGTGTATATGAAAAGTCAGCTCTGCATATTATGCAGGTTTTGCATCTTGAGGATGCTATATTTTCAATCCAAGTTTGGTTGGAAAAAATCCACCTGTAAGTGGACCCACACATTCAAACCTGTGTTGTTCAAGGGTCAGCTGTACTCTCAAACCTATGTCCTCGGTGATTTATGATCACACTTAACTGATCATAAAAGTCACCTGGTATATGTTGGGTAAACAATAGTTTTCCAGGCTCTACCCTAGAAATTATGATTCAGTAGATCTGAGATGAGACTTGGAAATCTGTATTTTTAATGAGCTCCCTGAGTGATTCTTATGTTTCAGCAAGCTTGGAAACACTGTACTATCTGAACTCATTATAGCTTTTCAATTTTCCTGTCAGTGGGAAAATTTCAATTTTCCTGTCAGTGGGACCAATATCACTGACTGGGGAAATGAGGCAACTGGAAACCTAGGAGTCAAGTTCAACTGCTTTCTTTCTTATCGTTACATTGGATTATTTTGCTTTCACCTTGAGAGTCTTCATCAGCTTCATCCTTTTCCATGCCTGAGTGCCCACCTCCTCTTGCATCTTGATTACTGAGGTTCAGTTAGGAATAGTGTTCAATGCTCAAGCCCTGGAGCTCTGCCATGTTCTAGTTGGAGATCTTAAGATCTTAGGCAAGTTGCTTAACTTCTCTGTGCCTTAGTTTCTTCATCTGAAAAAAAATGGGGATACTATTAGTACCTATCTCCTAAGTTATTATACAAAATGATACATGGAAAATGCTTAGAGTAGTACCTGGCCATAATGAGTGGTAATAAACTGTTATTAATTAACTGTTACTGAGATAGATTCTTAAGTTATTTTAAACTGCTTTTCCCTATACACTAATCTCCCCTTATCCTTGGAGGATATATTCCAAGACCCCCAGTGCCTAAAACCAAGGATAATATTAAACCCTATTTAGAAAATGCACAAATTTCTTTTTCCTTCTTTACAGTTTCGTGGATAGATTTGTTTTTACTATAGATCCTAAGCAACCTCAGCATATATTTTTTTGTTTTGTTTTCTTATGAAGTCAAGAACTTTCACCTTTTCATGTAAAGAAAGCACTTAACGACCGCTCCTTGGCGTATCCAGATTGCCAGCATCACTACTCTTGTGCATTATTAAGTAATGTAAGGGTGACTTGAACACAAGACCTGTGATCCCATGACAGTTGATCTGATAGCCAGGATGGCTACTAAGTAACTAATGGGCAGGCAGCATATACAGTGTGGATATGTTGAACAAAGGAATGATTTACATTCTGGGTGAGATGGTGCAAGATTACATCCTGCTACTCAGAAAAGGCATGCAATTTAAAACATATAAATTGTTTGTTTCTGGAATTTTCCATTTAGTACTTTTGTACCAAGGTTGACCATGGGTAACTGAAACCGTGGCTAAAGAGGGACTATATTAATATATTGTGCATTTTGCTGCCAGAATAATCTAAGATACTGTTTCAGTATGTTATCTCTCCTTTTTGAGCATCTTCATGATTCCAAATAATTTCCCAGAATAAGTCAAATTCTTCAGCATGGCATTCCCAGCCCTTAATCTCAGTCGTTTATACCTGCAATATTGACCTCATGCTGTTCACCCACTTTGTGCCACAACCAGAGTACTTTCTTTATTGTCTACTGTCTTAGCCATGTACATGATTCCCTTCCTGCCTTTGTTGATACTTTCCCCTTATTTGAACGTCTTTTAGTTTGCATATCTCAATCCTGTCAATCATTTTAAACTCCTTTTATTGTTAAGAATTCTTCTTCCATTGCTCCTACCTTTGCCCTTTCTTTTTCTGTGTCTTTCATCCCTTCTCAGATACTGTAAGCTTGTCCAGATTAGGGTATAGGTAGTATATGTATTTCTTTATCCTGCTTCCCTTCCACCTTGCCCCAAAACTTCGCTCAGTGAAAGTTTTTTTTTTTCAGGTTGATAATTCTGTTTATGTGTCTTTCACCTCAGAACCATTGTGACTTGTAAAATTTGATTTGGCAGGAAATCTGTGTGGGGATTTTAGGTAATATGGCTTGTTTCCAAGAGATATGTGTGTCCATCAGCAGTGATGAAAATCTTGGGTAAGTCTTATTACATAATGGTGTTTTAAATATATTCATTTATATCTTTAAGGAAATTCTATATATAGCAAAAGTAACAAATCTGAAAACAGTCCTTCCTCTGTCTTGATGAACACTCTCTAGGAACTTCTTTGTGTGTTGATGATAGCTAGGGGTTTCTTCAGGAGGTACTAAAATGATTCAGGATTTAAGCCTGTTTTCTTCAGTAGCAAGTGAACCTGAATTGTCAGCTGTTGCCAGTGAGTCAGATAGGGGAAGAACCGGTGGGACAAAACTTGGAGATGGGGCAGCCAACTGGAATCCAAAACAGTTTAGGTGCAAGGAACCCAGTGACTCAGCTGGAGTCTACAGAAACTAGATTCGTTGAATAATGTCATCCTGAGAACTCTGACTTAGAGGGTAAGACTTGCCAACAAACTAGAAGATAAAGGGGTGCTCCTGTGATTGAAAGACTCATATTTCTGCTTTGAGGCTAGTTCTCTTCTTCATGTGTAAAGTCCTGGGCAGAAGGTTTTTTAATGGAGGAAACCCAAGTGGTTACTGTGTTCTGAGAACACCCTGAAGTCATATGCTAAATTTTGTGGGTATATTAGTTTTCTAGGCAAAGGGTTCATGGCTATTAATCAAAATCTCAAAGAAATTTGTGCCCAAAATATGTTAAGAAAACTGTTCTAGGCAGTTTTTGTCAGAGCTGGGGCCATACGGGTTTTACTACAGGATTCAAGTACCTGGGTTTCTCAAAAAGAGGTAACTCCTAGTTGTGGAGGGACTTTAAGATCCTAGTTTGGGGTATTTATTCCTCAATAATTTACAGTCACTCATGGAACAAATGACTCAGGATTATGTTCAGTCTCTAGTGTTCTCTATCAAAATCTGCAAGTGAGAAATGTTAACAAATGTTATAAATTCAATTAAATGCTGATGGGATATAAATTTGTTGAACCACTTTAGAACAGTTGGGCATTATCTGGTCACATTGGATCATATGCATGTGCTGTGACCAGCTCATAGTGGGCATATATGGTAAGAGAAACTGTGCACGTGTGCATCAGAGTAACTCATACAAATGTTATAGGAGAATTGCTTGAAATAGCCCAAAATTGGAATCAATACAAATGTCCATCAACAGTAGTCTGGAAAAATAAATCGTGTTATCTTCACACAATGGAATGCTCTACAGCAGTGTATCAAAGAACAACAGCTACAGGAACAACATGGGTGGATCTTACATACATAGTTTTCAGCAAATAAATGAAGACTCAAAAGAATAGTATTTCTTTAATATGCTGTCTCCCTTCCTTGAACATCTTCATGAATCCAAATAACCTCCCAGATTATGTCTATTCAGCATGGCATCTTAATCCTTTTACCTGTGGTATAAAGCAACACCAAAATATATAAAATAATGAAACTATAGAGCAAAGTAAGGAAATGATTGCTGGAAAAGTCAGAATGATCATCATTTCTAGCTGGGAAAGAGAATTGTGATTTGGAATGGACACCTGGTGACTACAGAGATGCAGCTCTGTTCTGTTTCTTGGAAACACGAGTGTTTGCTTCAGAATTGTTCGTTAACTATAGATTTGTATATTTTGGGCTTTTCTGTATACATGCTGTGTTTCACAATAAAGATGTTCAAAAAATGAAATGAAAACTCTGATACTCTAAATGCGAAAAGTGAGGCTTATTGGTTAACTTCTGTGTTTTTGTAGGCAGGTGTTATTGCACTGTTTGTATGATTCAGACCCACCTACTCTGCTGGAAACAAGCAGGTATGCTTTTCCTTTTATGAATTCTGTGATGTTACTCATAAGAGTAGCTAAGAAAGTTAATTTTTTATTTTTGAATTTCCTTTACTGATTTTGAAAAGTAGAAATTCAACCCACGTTTACCATATAGGTTGTTGCTTACTTGCCTTTCCCAGGCAGAAGTGGCCAGTGTCTGGGTTGAAAGGATCCGGGAACATCCAGCTATCTATGATAGCATTTGCTTCATTATGTCAAGTTCAACAAATGGTGAGTCATGTACTCTAGAAAAAAAATGTTTTAAATTTTACTTAATTTTTAGGAAACCGTGTAGCTATTTCTAGAAGTCACCTTTTTAAAAAAAAAAAAAAAAAAAGGCTTGAGTGCAAGGTAATAAAGTTGTTGGAGACAGAATCTTGCTCTGTCACCCAGATTGGAGTGCAGTAGTATGATCATAGCCCACTGCAGCCTCTAACTCCTGAGCTCAAGGTATCCTTCTGTCAGCCTCCTCAGTAGCTGGGCCTATAGTCATGCACTACCACGCTCAGCTCGTGTTAGAATTTTGTGTAGAGACAGGGTATTGCTTTGTTGCCCAGGCTAGTCTCGAACTCGTGGGTTCAAGCAGTCACTCAGCCTCAACCTCCCAAAGTGTTGGGATTATAGGTGTAAGCCACCATGCCCAGCTTTTTGTTTGTTTGTTTGTTTTTTGGAGATAGTTTTTTGATTGAAGAAGATATAAAATTTCTTAAACTCCTGGGACACTGATAAATTCCTCATTTTAAAATAAGGAAATATAAGCAAATTTAAACATAGGAGATAAGTAAATCACCCTTGGAATAAGCACTGCTTGAGCAAGATTTGGCTTTCTTAAAATAGCTTTAGAATTTTGCTTGACCATATTACTTTTAACAGTTTGTATCTCATTTCAATATCTGTTTTATTCTCTGCAGTTGACTTGTTGGTGAAGGTGGGGGAGGTTGTGGACAAGCTCTTTGATTTGGATGAGAAACTGATGTTGGAATGGGTCAGAAATGGGGCTTCTCAGCCTCTAGACCAACCCCAGGAAGAGTCTGAAGAGCAGCCAGTTTTTAGGCTTGTGCCCTGTATACTTGAGGCTGCCAAACAAGTACGGTAGGTGAGCTCTTTCATGCAAGTGTTTTGGGAAAATGCGATTGCTAGAAGTATTCTCAGATATAAGTCTTGTTAGATTCCTTGCAACAGAAGGAATGTTACGTTGAGTCACTACTAATATTTGTAATGTAACATGTTTGCTTTTTGCAAGAATGATATGGTTACAAAGTTCCTGTTATATTGTCATTTAGCTATAGGCTGTTATTCAACATTAAATGTGGTTTCTGTCTTAACATCATCAGAAATTTTATGTAATTTAAATCAAAGAGAAAACATTTTCGTGTGGTTATTTTACATCGAACATTTAACAGCTTCTTAACTTTGCACATCATTTGTTTATTTATTTAGCTCCTTGTGTTTATATGCCAGTCTTCAATAAGTGATTGATTTTGAGACTCTGATGTCTTGCCAAGAGTGATTACTAGGTCTTACAGGTCATTAAAACTATTTATTGCTAATCACTAGAAAATTAATTTTGAGATTGATCTGCTTAGTGGTTTGCTTAGTGCATTATTAGTGCTGAGTAAGCCACATCAAAACCTATTAATTTTGTGTCCTTTATCCAAGTGAGGATTAAATTCATCATCTTTCCCTAAATCTGCTTCATCAGTATTCTCGGTATCAGTAAATGGTGCAATCATTATCCTATTTGGATAACATAGAAGAAATGGAGAAGCCATTACTGAATGCCCCACTATTTTCCCATTGTAGTCGACTTCCAACCCTTATTCCTGACTTTTCCTGGGATTCCATCCATGCCAATCAAGCCATTATTGTCTCTCATCTGGACAACTGCCACATTCTTTTACTTGAATTCCCTGCCTCCGTGCTTGCTTCTTCCCAAGCCTAGACTTAAAAGCTGTTTTTGTAAAGTACGCACTCATCTCACTCTCATGCTTCAGTCTTTTCAGTTGCCTTCCTTAGGATAAGGTCCAGAAGAAAACAACAACAACAAAAAACACAGCTTGAATACTACGTACATCACCTGGGTGAAGGGGACCATTTGTATTCCCAAACCTCAGCATCATGCATGTAACAACCCACAACATATACCTTCTGAATCCAAAATTTAAATAAATAGTCGAAAAAAGAATGAAATAAATGAAAAATCCTTAAAAAAATGAAGTACAGCTTATAGGCCCAGTAGAATGCCTCTCTATCCTTATTCCTTGTACTCTGCATTTTGGGCCTGTGAAGCTTGCTTCACTTCTTCAATTGAACCAGGCTCTCTTGTTGCCAGGCCCTGGCACAGTATGTTTCCTCCACCTCAAACACTTCTTTGCGCCTTCATGTTTCTGTGTAAACATCATTTTTCATAAGATACCTTCCCTGACCTTGCAAATGAAGTCTCCTTGCTCTGTGAAGTTCCTAGTCCTATATTGCTGCGCGCATACCACTTTATTATAATTACCCCGCTCGCAATCTTCTTTCCTTTTAGAGTAAAAACTTTATGAAGATAGGAATAACATCTTATACATCTGTTTTCTTAGTTCCTGACATAGTGCCTGAAAGTAGTAAGTACTTAAATAAACATTTGCCAAACCATTGTTTTAATTGTTCACTGTCTTTTCACTTGCTTGGTTGAAGAACTAAGATTTTGAGTTTCTAAACTGTTTAGATAAAATTTAAGAATACAAACTGCTGATCATAAGAATTAGACTTATGTGGTTTTAGTATTCTCAGCTAGAGAGCTAGGATAATCCTGAGACGTTTTCAGAACATCATTGTTGATGCATGGTGCAGTGGACCTTACTCTCATACTCTAAAAATCTTAGTCATTTTTTGTTCTGATTATTCAAGCAAACCAAAATGATAAAGTATCAACTAGCAGGTTTCTGCTTTGTTACTTTCATGAGATAGAGGCAAACAATTTTTTTACTTCTTGCCTGTGTGTGTTGATTATATGTATATATATTTTTTTTTGAGACGGAGTTTTGCTCTTGTTACCCAGGCTGGAGTGCAATGGCGTGATCTTGGCTCACCGCAACCTCTGTCTCCTGGGTTCAAGTAATTCTCCTGCCTCAACCTCCCGAGTAGCTGGGACTACAGGCATGCACCACCATGCCCAGCTAATTTTTGTATTTTTTTAAGTAGAGACGGAGTTTCACCATGTTGACCAGGATGGTCTCGATCTCTTGACCTCGTGATCCACCCGTCTCGGCCTCCCAAAGTGCTGGGATTATAGGTGTGAGCCACCATGCCCGGCCGTGTGTTGATTATATTATATAATATTTGTGATTTTTTTTTTTTTTTTGCTGTTTGTTTTAGTATATAAAAGCTCTAATGAGCATAGTGACTTCATTCCTTTCCTTGTTTTATCCTCAGCACTTAGAGCAGTGGCTGGCACAGAGTAATAAATATTCCTTGAATGGATGAATGATTGGAATCCCCTGGACAGTAAAGTTGTGGCTTTTACTTTTCTTTTCAGTTCTGAAAATCCAGAATGGCTTGATGTTTACATGCACATTTTACAATTGCTTACTACAGTGGATGATGGCATTCAAGCAATTGGTAAGATGGTTTATCCAGATGCGCTACAGTTACTCATTTAATTCTTTGCTGATTTTAAATGACTACTTTCTTTATTATCTTTATTAAGTACATTGTCCTGACACTGGAAAAGATGTTTGGAATTTACTTTTTGACCTGGTCTGCCATGAGTTCTGCCAGTCTGATGATCCACCCATCATTCTTCAAGAACAGAAAACAGTGCTAGCCTCTGTTTTTTCAGTGTTGTCTGCCATCTATGCCTCACAGACTGAGCAAGAGTATCTAAAGATAGAAAAAGGCAAGTACAATTTTTTAGGCTCATACTGTTTTTCATTTCATTTATTTCTCCCTTTTTTTCTTTTTATTTCTCCCTTTTAAAAATGCTTTCATTCTCCTAATTATAGAAATGTTACATGCTAAATTTTAAAAATTTATTATCATATTTATTTACTTATTTTATTTTTTATTTATTTTTATTTTTTGGAGATGGAGTCTTGCTCTGTTGCCTAGGCTGGAGTACAGTGATGTGATCTCGGCTCACTGTAACCTCTGCTTCCTGGGTTCAAGTGATTCTCGTGCCTCAGCCTCCCGAGTAGTTGGGATTACAAGGCGCACACACCATCAAGCCCGGCTAATTTTTGTATTTTTTCAGTAGAGGCAGGTTTCACCATTTTGGCCAGGCTGGGCTCTAACTCCTGACCTCAGGTGATCCACCCACCTCAGCCTTCCAAAGTGCTGGGACTACAGGCATGAGCCACCTCGCCTGGCTATTTACCTGTTTTAAAAACAGAGTCTTACTTTGTTGCCGAGACTGTAGTGCAGTGGCAGGATCATAGCTCACTGCAACCTTGAATTCCTGCGCTAAGGTGATTCTCTTACCTCAGCCTCCTGAGTAGCTAGGACTCCAGGCACATGACACTTCACCTGGCTAATTTTTAAATTTTTTTATGGAGACAGGATCTTGCCATCTTGCCCAGGCTTGTCCCAAACTCCTGGGCTCAAATGACCCTCCTGCCTTGCCTTCCAAAGTGCTGGTATTATGGGCATGAACCACTGCACCCTGCCTAAAAATTTATAAAATTTATAAAAAACATCAAGGAAACATGATGCTTGTAAATCTACCATCCAATACAGGCATATGTATTTTTTTAAATTCTGCTTTTTAGCCAACATTTCATTTTGAAAGTAAAGTGAATATTTTCCTATGTAAATACATATTCTTTCACATAATGATTTTTATGACTACAGTTAAATTCATGATTCATTTAGAATTTATTCTGGTGTCACATGTGAAATGTGGCTTTAATTCCCCCCCCACTTTGATAACTTTGGTGCTAGCGGTATCCGTTGTTTTCCAGGGTGCTACCCTGTTATCTCACCATCATTTAGTGAATAATCCAGCTTACCTACAGTGATTTGAAATTTCGTCATTATTATTTTTTAAATTCCCCTATACATTCTATTTAGTTCCATTGCTCTATTTACATATTAGTAGCCATATTGTTTTTAAATATTAAGGTTTTATGTTTTAATACCTAATAGTGAATCCCCTTCATTCTAAGTTTTCAGAATGTTTTTAACTATTCTTATCACTAACTTTAAGTTCCAAACCAAAAACTCTGGTATTTTTGTTGATATTGTGTTAATTTTATAAGAATATGTTATGCCTTTTCATTTGTTCAGGTCTTATTTTGTCCCTCAGTAATGGTTTCTTCATATAGATCTTGTATATTTCTTACTAATTCCATTCCTAGACATTTTATCCTTTGGGTTTACTATTGTCTATGACATGTTTTCTTCCACTGATTATTGTTGTTGGAATACATGAAGGCTGTTGATTTCTATGTGTAAACTTTGCCTCTTGTAACCTTACCAAATTCTTACTATTTTTAATAATCATTCCAATAATAATCCTTGGGCTTTATCTGATAGTGCTTTGGCTTAAATTAGATATATCTTATCAATTCTCTATCTGTGGTTTCTTTTTCTTTCTGGGTTGCCTAGTATCTCTGGTGTTAAATAATAGTGAAGATAGAAAACATCCTTCCCTTGTTCCTGATTTTATTAGGAATAATCCTAGAGTTCTACTGTTAAGCATTACTGGCTATAAGATACATATTTTACAGCCAGATGCAGTGGCTCACACCTAAAATCCCAGCACTTTGGGAGGCCAAGGTGGGCAAATTACCTGAGGTGAGGAGTTCAAGATCAGCCTGGCCAACATGGTGAAACCCTGTCTCTGCTCAAAGATACAAAAATTAGCCAGGCATGGTGGCACACGCCTGTAACCTCAGCTACTCGGGAGGCTGAGGCAGGAGAATCACTTGAATCTGGGAGGCAGAGGCTGCAATGAGCCAAGATGTCACTACTCTACTCCAGCCTGGGCAACAGAGCAAGACTCGGTCCCCTCAACAAAAAGTTATATGTCCTACCATTTAAGGAAGTATTAATCCGTTTCTATTTTATTGAGTTTTTAATTTTAAAAATGTTGAATATTTTTAAGATCATCATTTATAGATATGCTACATCATTGAGAAAGTGGCATTGAGTACAGATCTTAGGGAGAGAATGGAGGGAGTCATATGCATACTTGGGGAGAAGAACATTCCAGACAGAAGGAATAGAAGGTATAAAAGCCCTGAACCAGAAGTACGCCTGGTGTCTTTGAGGAGGAACAGTGAGATCCCATATAGCTGAAGTGGATTTAGCAAAGTAGCACATGGAGCCAGAGAGGTAGAGTATGGAGGTTCCGATTTTGCCTTTTCCTCTGAATGAGGTGGGGAACCATGATGGGTTTTAAGCAGATGTTGCTTACACATGAGCTGACTTTAGTAGGTTGCTGTTTTGATGAGAGATGTAAGGGGCCGTGAATAGAAAAGGGAGACGAGTTAGGAGGCTTTTAGAGTCTGGATAATTGACTCATAGCAAGAAATGTTATAACTTGGACTAAGATGGAACAGTGGAGGTGGTAGAAAAATGCTGTGAGCTGATTTTTTGTATTTGGTAAAATATGGTTTCTCCAAATTGCTCAGGCTGAATGATCTCAAACTCCTGGGCTCAAGCTACCTGCCCATTTTGGCCTCCCGAGGTGCTGGGATTACAGTCATGAGCCACCAGGCCTGACTTCCGGGGCTTTTAAAATTGCTGATGTTTGATTGCTTTACTTTTCAACTCAGTGTTACCTTTTCAGAGAGCTTTCCCTGCTAGGCCATTATATTATATTCCTCTTTTATTTCCTTCATAGAACTTACCAAAACCTGAAATGGTCCATTTTATTTACTTATTTGAAAGTATAAAAATATAAGCCACTTATAGGCTGACATCTTGGTCATGTTACCACTGTATCTATAATACCTAAAATAATGATGTCTAGCACTAATTTAATATGTATGAATGAAAAATCAAACTGAACTGGCCAATTCAATGCTTCTTGATTTGTTTATACAGTAGATCTTCCTCTAATTGACAGCCTCATTCGGGTCTTACAAAATATGGAACAGTGTCAGAAGAAACCAGAGAACTCGGTGGAGTCTAACACAGACGAAACTAAAAAGACTGATTTAACTCAAGATGATTTCCACTTGAAAATCTTAAAGGATATTTTATGTGAATTTCTTTCTAATATTTTTCAGGCATTAACAAAGGTAGGAAAGAAGTACTGATGATGATGTTGTAAGCGAAAGTGTGTACAGCTTAATGCTCCAAACTTTATTATTACTGCTATTATTTTGTTAATATAAAAGTAATAACGAATTTGGGAAAATAAAGAAAGTAAAATCTTAATATCACTATGAGTTTATAATCTTTTTTTTTTTGAGACGGAGTTTCGCTCTAGTTACCCAGGCTGGAGTGCAATGGCGCGATCTCGGTTCACCGCAACCTCTGCCTCCTGGGTTCAGGCAATTCTCCCATCTCAGCCTCCTGAGTAGCTGGGATTACAGGCACGCACCACCATGCCCAGCTAATTTTTTGTATTTTTAGTAGAGACAGGGTTTCACCGTGTTGACCAGGATGGTCTCGATCTCTTGACCTTGTGATCCACCCGCCTCAGCCTCCCAAAGTGCCGGGATTACAGGCTTGAGCCACCGCACCTGGCCTGAGTTTATAATCTTAAAAACCACTAGTTGTATTAGTTTGGTATATTTATGTATGACAAACATATATTTGCATGCATATATATTTTTAAGTGCATTTTCATATACTTTTACCCAGCATATGCAGACTGCTCTTTTTCCTAACACTGTATTATAAGCATTTTTCTTGATTCTAGATGAAAGGCTTTTAACTGAGAGCCAATTTAAATGTAATTTACCAAGTAATCAGTTTTCAAAATTTACTGCAAACTTCTCCTAAGTAATACTCTCCCTGAATATGTTCAGTGATTAATATCTTCCTTTGACCATATTCTTTCTATCCATGTATTTGGAAAGAAATAGATTATGAATATGTTAAGAATATATTGTTTTATGTATTATGAATATAAAATATTATAAATATAACTATGAAGAATATATTTACTCATACCCACTGAATTTTTAAAAGAGTATTCCTTAATGAGAACCTTCTCTTGGCCAGGTGCCCATAATCGCAGTTCTTGGGAGGCTGAGACAGGCGGATCACTTGAGTCCAGGAGTTTGAGACCAGTTTGGGCAACACAGCAAAACCTCATCTCTACAAAAAATACAAAAATTAGCCAGGCGTGGTGGCACACGCCTATGATCCCAGCTACTTGGGAGGCAGAGATGGAAGTATTGCTTGAGCCCAGGAGGTCAAGGCTGCAGTGAGCCGAGATTGTGCCATTACACTCCAACCTGAGTGACAGAGTGAGACTCTATCTCAAAAAGACAAAACAAAACAAAAAGTTTCTCTTAATCTGGTGATTTTTATTTTTTTTTAAGCAAAGTCTCACTCTGTCTCTAGGCTAGAGTGCAGTGGTGTGATCTCGGCTCACAACCACCTCCGCCTCCTGGGTTCAAACGATTCTCCTGCCTCAGCCTCCTCAGTATCTGGGACTACAGGTGTGTGCCACCACACCCAGCTAAATTTTGCATTTTTAGTAGAGGTAGGGGTTTCACCCTGTTGGCCAGGATGGTCTGTATCTCTTGACCTCGTGATCCACCCGCCTCGGCCTCCCAGAGTGCTGGGATTACAGGCGTGAGCTACCTTCCCTGGCCCGATTTTTTTTTTTTTAATTATTATTATTAGTTGTCTTGCTTCTCTTTTCCATATTTGTATTTTCCAGATTTGGGGTTATTACCTTAGCAGGTCTTACAGAATACTGGATTCAACATTACAGATGTGAAGATGGCTAGGGCATAATGCCTATATTTTGTCAAAATGCTATTTACATGTGAAAATGTTGCTTTTACTTGACCCTTATTATTGGGTATTATAATTTTTATGTCAAGTAAAGTTCAACAGGTGATAAATTGTGCCTTATTTTGATTTGCATTTTAAATTAATTAGAGATTGAAATATTTGGATGTCATATATTGATTGTGTTTCCTGCTTTTTTATAATTTATCCAGTTTGATTATTTGTATAAATTTACTGGGTAAAAATGCATCTTTTCCATATTCATTGCATGTATTTTTTTTTTTTTTTTCTATTTTTTGCTGTTGCTTTTGTTTTTTGGAGCAAGGGACATCGATATTTCTTAACTTTTAAGTGGTAGGAACATCAAAGGAAGGTGGACTGAGAATGCACTAGGGCAATGTCATGCAAATTCTTATATGCCATATTTAGGGGATTTGGACTTAATCTTGAGGAAACGGAGGAGCTACTAAAGATTTTTTTCTTTTAAGCACCAAGTGATATGAGCAGTTTAGAAAGATTACTCCAAAAGCAATAGCGAGGAAGGAGTAGAGAGAGTTGAGGCTGGAGAGCAGGAGACCAACCTACAGGGCTCGTGTGGTTGATAATCTTCAAGAATCATCTGAAAAATGGTGACAGCCTAAACAACTGAAGTTTGAACGGAGAGGAGGGATGCAGTAAGAGAGATCTGGTAGAACAGACTTGAATACTCGCGGGGAGGGGTCAGCAGCAGGGGAGAAGGAAAAGTCTTGACTGTGTTCCAGGTTTTTGGTCTGTGTAGCAGGGTGGGTAGTCGTGCCCTTCGCTAGAGTAAAGACTACATTGGAGAAGGTGTTTGGGTTACATAAGCATCCTTGATGTCAGTGGGTTCAGTTGGGACATTTGAAATGCCTACGGGGTCAGTGGGGAATTGTATATACTGATTTGTTTTTATTCACTAAAGCTTGAGAAATTTTCCTTTTTTGACATTGAATCTTGTGCTGTTTTAGGAGACTGTGGTTCAGGGAGTAAAGGAGGGCCAGCTTAGCAAACAGAAGTGTTCCTCTGCATTTCAAAACCTTCTTCCTTTCTATAGCCCTGTGGTAAGTATGTGTACATGTATAGGTGGCTAAGTTTCATAGGATTACTAAATGTTTTCAAGTAAGCACTTGATTTTGAGGTCATTGTCAAAAAAGATAGTATATACAATTTATATGACTTAATGCCTTTGTCAGATAGATGACTGGTAGAAACAGAAAACCAAATACCATATGTTCTCACTTAGAAATGGGATCTAAACCATTGGATACCAGGGACATAAAAATGGGAACAGAAGGCACTAGGGACTACAGGAGGAAGGGAAGGAGGGAGGCAGGGTGGGCAAGGGCTGAAAAACTACCTATTGGGTATTAAGCTTACTGCCTGGGTGACAGGTTCATCTGTGCCTCAAACCTCAGCATCATGTAATATACCTTTGTAACAAACCTTTGTAACAAATGCACATTTAGACATTTAGACTCTTCTGAGTCTAAAATAAAAGCTAAAAAAAAAAAAGGTGACTACTGGAAAATTCATAATACTATTGGGAGTAACAATTTTAAGAGGAAAAAATCAGCTCTAAATTTATAATACTCCTTTCTGTTATGAAGTAGATAGCATATATATTAAGCCAAAGTCAGATTCTCAGGAACAGTCGGTAGGTTTCTATGGTTCTTCAAATGACATCACATTTCCTACCATTAGAAGCAGATTTCAAAATAGGAACTTTTCTAGGAAAACGAAGGACAGAATGTGGGAACAGACGGTAAGGGGAGGCAGGGGGAGAAGTACTAGGTCAAAAGTAAAACAGAATGGAAGCATAGTCATTTCCTTGAGAATATTTTAGAGGACTGCTTAGGAAGTACTTTTACTGTCATCTGGAGATCTGCCAGCATTTCTTTTCCATCGGACCATTTAGAAACCACAAGTAGAGTAATCAGTACCTTAAACCACCTTTTTCTCTGCTGTGTTTGATTTTTTTTTGTTTGACTCACAGGTGGAAGATTTTATTACAATCCTACGTGAAGTTGATAAGGCCCTTGCTGATGACTTGGAAAAAAGCTTCCCAGGTTTGAAGGTTCAGACTTAAAAACTGAATTGGAATTATTTCTGTACAAGAAATAAACTTTATTTTTCTCACTGAGAGTTGAAATGGACTTATTGGGAATATTAGCCAAAGCCCCTATTACACCATAGTTGTCTGGTATTACATTTGTGCCCTTCTTCTCTCCTAGACTTGTCTCACTTTTTTTAACTTTGGAATCTCGAGTTTCACCACTGTCACCCCTATTTTTATGTTACGTAATATTTATCTTCCTCAGTTGAGGAAAGGAAAAATGTTAAGCTTATCGTTGAGGTTCGTTTTAGGATATGTGAGAGATTTGAGGATTTTCTTCATGGCTGTTAATTTTTTAAGTGAGAATTACGTCTTTGTATCCACTATAAGGATATTCAGCTGCAGTAGCAGAAACCCTCCAGTAACAGCTGAATCTGATGTCTTTCAGGAAACTTATGCAAAAAGTTCAGATGAAATAAGGTGACTCCTTTCATCCTTCATGCAGTCTGCCATGTAGACCTTTGTGTTCATGCTTACTGTCTTGTGGTTAAGGGGGCTGGGCCTTTATCTACATTCAGGGAGGAAAAGGGAGAAAGAGAAGGGGCTTTTTCCTACCAAGTCTTTATGTGTGTTTTAACAAAGCCAGCTTTCTAAACCTCGCTTTTGGTACAGCCCCTTCCCAATTTGTATCAGAGTTTTTTTGGCTTTAAAGTGTTTGTCTTGCCTCATACTTTATTTTCTTTCCTTGAGAGATTTCTGCTCATGAAACATAGAATAATCTTATTGGTAAGAGATAATATGATTTCCAGTTCGGAGGTAGTTTTATTGTTCGAAATGTCACTGCTGAAAAGAATTGGAACATAAAAGTAAAATCTTATAGGTGAACGCTCACTGGTAGGTTTATATATACTATACTGTATGTATATTTGCATGTCCTCAGTGCTGACCTTATTGGTAGGCTGAATTGACTGTATTCAATGTGAGATTTCAAAGGCACTGATGAAATCACTCCTACGTGCTAGCTGACACAAAAATTCCACTCTTTTTTTAAAGTTTAAGATGCAAATACTGAGTAAGAATAATACTTGAGGTTATTAGTTATGTTTACCTCAATGCACATGAATTTCACATTTTCTTTTTTTTTTTCTGAGAGCATGTTTTAAAAGGGGAAGCACAAGGACCTTATGTACCTGAAGGAGTGTTGCACAAAAATGGTAAGTCACAGAGGAAGAAAGAGAAAGAGGATAGTAGTGGGAAGGCTGGGAGTGTCTAATTTATTTTCCGCTCACATTTCTGCCTTGGACCTGTAGTGTTTGTTACTTCTTTATTATTAACATGAGTTTTGGTACATATTTTCGTAATACTTTTGTATGTTTGAAAACATCCCATATCTATAAATTATGATACTTTTCTTTAAGTGACCAGTGTTAAATCATTTTTAATGCTACATGATCTGAAGAAGTCACTCACAAAATTAAGTTCTTGAATCAGTTGCAGTGATATTTTGAAATGGTGCTTCCTCCAGAACCATAAATATGAAATTTTATACACAATTGAAATTACACACACAAATGGACACATTTTTTCCCCTATACTTTTTTTCAGGGGAGAGGAAAACTGCAAAATGAGCTTGAGTTAGCATTTGTTATTGAGTTCGATATTTCAAGACCTAAACCACTAAGAAAGAAGACATGGTCTCTTTCCACTTTTTTTTTTTTTTTTAAAGATATTTTATCCTCTACAGAAAATGGGATATAGCTAAACTCTTGTTTTCTTGGTAGGTTCATCTTTCTAGATCAAAAGACTTTTCCTACTCTATCTTTAATATTTCCTATTGCCTTTCTTGAATTAGTTACTAAATAATTTTGGTATGTAAGTGGGAGAAAGTTTAAGAGCCACCTCTGAGCCTGATGTACTGGTTTTTTTTTTTTTTTTTTTTTTTTTTTTTTTTTTTTTTTTTTTGGTGGAATGCATGTAGAAACTGACTATAAGCATTAAAAAAAACCTGTTAGGGGTTCAGAAAATCTTAAGTACGTGAAATACTGAACACCATCATCTGTTCTTGAGACTGGGCAATAGTGATGCTGCGTCTGAGCTAGCTTTGAAGCTGATAATCTATGACTCCAGTATTCTGTTTCTTCAACTAATATTCTTTACAACCTTTTCAATAGCCTTTTTTTAAAAAAAATAGGTTCATATTAATTTAGGACTGGATTATTTATTCTACTTGAGCATGTGTTCTCTTTTATCACTTTGCAACTTCAATTTCCTCCATGCTCCTGTCAGAAGTTTTAAGAAAGGGGAAATAGGTAAATGCCCCTCTTAACCATACCATGTTTTACCATATTTTTCTTTCCTTTTTGACATACGAGTCTCACTATATTCTTGCTAAGACTGGTTTTAAACTCCTGTGCCCAAGCAGTCCTGCCTCAGCATCGTGAGTAGAGTATTTTTCTTTTTGTTGCTGGTTTGGAATCCAATCTAAGAACCATTATTAAAAGTTATATATTTATAGTAAAATAGTATGATGTCTTTGATGTGCTTCAAAATAGTCTGGGGAAAGGGAAAGAAGTAGGTTAATGGAGTAGATGAAACAAGACTGGCCATCAGTTGGAGTTGCTGAAGCTGGGTGACAATTACACGGGGTTCCATTATACTGCTTTGTTTGTTTAGAGACAGGGTCTTGCTCTGTTGTGCAGGCCAGATGGAGTGGCACACTCATAGGTTACTGCAGCCTCAGACTCCCGGGCTAAAGTGATCCTTCCACCTCAGCCTCTCAAATAGCTGCGACTGTGGGAGCATGCCACCACTCCCAGTTAACTTTTATTTATTCATTTTTATTTTATTTTATTTTGAGACAGAGTCTCATTCTGTTGCCCAGGCTGGATTCCTGTGACATGATCTCGGCTCACTGCAACCTCCGCCTGCCAGATTCAAGCAGTTCTGCCTCAGCTTCCTGAGTAGCTAGGGCTGCAGGCACACACCACCACACCTGGCTAATCTTTGTATTTTTAGCAGAGATGAGGTTTCACTGTGTTGGCCAGGCTGGTCTCAAACTCCTGACCTCAGGTGATCCTCCGACCTCAGCCTCCCAAAGGGCTGGGATTACAGGTGTGAGCCACCACACTTGGTCTATTTATTTATTTTGTAGAAATGGGTTTTCACTATGTTTCCCAGGCTGGTCTTGAACTTCTGGCCTGAAACAATTATCCTGGCTCAGCCTCCCAAAGTGCTGGGATTGCAGGCTACCACACCTGGCCTTCCTGTAAAATTATAAAAGCAAATAAATCATACACAATTTAAGCTTTAATTTGATGATGAAAGATGCTTGTTCCTTTTATGTCATTGAACTAGTCAAACCTGCAAGAGCCTGGGCCAATGTAGTGTTGAGTCTCGTGGGGCAGTCCAGACCTCAGTCAGCAACCAAAAAGAAAAAAAAAGCAGGTAAGACTGGAAGCCTGAGGGCAGCTTGCGGTGGATGCTGCTAGCTTTCCATAATATTTGTTCATCAACCTGACTGCTTTGTATTTCTGTGTAGAATGCAAAATCTTTTGCATTGCTAAGCTTTTATAATTTGTCTTAGATAATTTGCATGAAGTCACATTTGCTTAAATCCAATTTTATACAACCCAGGGAACATCTGTAATATAAAAGCCAGAAAACCTCCATGAGTTCACATTTCACAGCCAAAGATTTTGTAGTATCAGGTTGCTCCTTCTACCATGATTATTGTACCCATGTGATTGCCCTTTCTTAACAACTGTGTTTTCCCTGGATATTTACAAGATTCTATAGTGTAGTAACATTGTGGAGCAGGGTATTCTCATTTTATCCTAATTCATGCCTCAGGGCTCTGGCAAGGATCACAATTCTGGGAGAGGGCCATGCCACACTGAAACCAGACCTGGAGGGGAGAGGATCTGTACCAAAAGAGGTAGCATCAGGGTCTGCTTTGAGTCCCTGTCTCACCTGGCTTCCATTTCAGTTTCTTCTTTCTTAGGACTTCAGCTTGTATGTGGACCTCAAGACCATACCAGCCTCTCTTTTTGGGGGTTGTGTTCTCCCAGCTTAATCACTATTCTCTTGGCATTTCTTTAAATTTGTGAGAAAGAAATTATTGCCTAGTTGCTAGTCTTTTCATATCAAGCAGTTGTGGGTCATCTGTGGTTTGGCTACTTTGGGCTAAGTGTGCAACCCAACACAGTCAACTAAAGTTGAAATTAAAATGAGTATGATGCAAAATTTACCTAAGGACACAAGGGTGTAGTAGACATCAGACTTAATTTCCTGTTAGAGATGGCCACCATTTATTGAGGGTTTTACTATGTGTCAGACACTATAAAGGTCTTTAGATATATTATTTAATTTTGCAATAATCCCATAAGGTAATTGTCACCATTTTAATAGATGGAGAAATGAAGATTCAGAGTGTTAAAATAACTTGCTGAAAGTTACTTAGGTCGTAAGTAGCTGACCCAGGGCTTGGATCTGGACCCGCCTAGCCTAATGAATATTCTTTTAGCCACTATACTGCACTTGCTTTCCGTGGAGAGGCATGGACTGGATCATGAAAGTGTTGGTACATCATGTGGAAGAGACAGTTAGGCGCTCTGCTTATCCATGCTCCTTTCTCCAGAATTGCCCCTGGACTGCCCACATTCTTCCCATGGTTACAGCATATGGTTTAATAAGGGAATGACAGTTAGCCCAAGCTGGGCAACTCAGGTTGACTCAAGGACACTGGACTCTAGGCCACGTAGTTTACAAGGCTGAGGGCACTATTTGGTGGGGCAGTCAGTCATATTTATCATCCACTATGTACCAGGTATTCTAAGCACTAGGAAGACAGCAGTAAACAAAACAGACAAAATCTGTGTAGTAGAAATATAGGGGACAAAGCAGACAAAAATCTTGCCCTAATGGGCCTGCCATTCCAGAGTCATATGTAAGAGGAACAGAGGAAGAAGCTGGTCTGCATAGAGGTCATGCATCCTGTAGCAGATTGGATCATTGTTCTCGATCTTCACCTCTGTGTATCTGTGCCCTTGCCATGGCTTCTCAGTGGAAGGAATGTACTTCCCTGTTCA